AAATCCGATTAATTTCACTGAATATATATGTTTTGCTCAATTATGATCGGACCTCTTTTCACTTCTATGCTTTTATATGAATAGCAGTTTAAAAAATAGATTATTATACATAAATGTGCAGGACAGGACGTTTTTTTTTATTCGTTACACGAAAAGAATGCAAGACAAAGGATAGAAAATGATTCTTGGCTCGGACTCAGAATCCAGGTAGTATCACAATTGGTATCTAGCCAGATACTTTTACCAACCAAGTTATAGAGACACAGTCTTAACTGAAATTGAATTCAATATGAACTTTTATTTAATTTTTTTTTGAGTGATGAGTAACAGCCGTTTTATCATCTTTGATTTTGAACAGTTTGAAAAAGTAAAAATATTTTTCAAGGTTGTGATTCCATTAATTTTTGGGTATAAGACCATGCTTGGGATTCACTTTGAAACGAGTGTCGGGTACCCAACCCAATTGCAGGATTACTAATATAAATCTTATGAAGTTTTTAGTCCTATATCATGATTTTTTCGAAAGATATTTCAATAAACAAGGGTAAAAAATATCTCATTTGGTAACCGAAAACTCTATTACTTCTCATTCTGTATATTTATTTATTTTTGTTTGAAACAACATGCCAGACTGCAGAAACTTTTTTTTTAAAATTATTACTTTTAATGCACAGAAAAAGGATGACAAGTTTAATATCCGAATAAAGGGTTATCTATTTATAGAAGTGATACTTGAAATAATAGTAAAAAAAAACTTAATTCCAAACAAACATGGTCGCTGTAGCTTCCCATGCTCTCTCAAGCAAAAAATAAAAGCAATTATTTATAATGAAGCTTCTTCGAGAATTCAAAGATGCGCATTCAGAAAAGCGTCAATAGAGAAAAAGATCTCATTTTCTTTTCTGAAAAAAAGCGTATTTTTCAAGCAGAAGTTGACGAAAATCACCAAAAATGTTAACAGAAAAAGAAGTGTCAAATACAAAATCATGTTGATTTAATCTGATATGTCTATTGTACATGCATTCTATGTCTTGAATAAGACATCGAATATGATGAAAAATGATCGAGTTTTATTATAATCATGATTAGAACTTTTATTTGATATATTAATTTCTTATGATTCAAATTGAAATGATCTTTCATTGAATTATTTTGTCAATCATGATATGAATGAGCTTGAAATTGGAAAAGTATCATGAGCATGAAACATCTGTTTGTTTATAGAAATTGATTTTGTTTAAAAAAAAATACATTGTCATTTCATATAACAGAGATTATGTTTCAAAATCCAAAAAGTGTCATCCTAGTCTTCAGTCACATGTCTGGATGTTATCAATTATTTGTATTTGAAAGAATATTGAATTGCTAATGCAGAAATCTCGCTATATGAAAAAAAAAAGCTTTGGAGATGAGTCTTATCTCATTAGATGAGCATTATTGAGATTCGAGAAAGCCGAAAAAAGAATTGTATCATAGTTATTTACGGAAAATTTCCAGTAAAACACCGTGGTTCCTATCAGATCACTTTCAGAATTTGAACTTCTTTCGAATTTTGAGTTCAAATTTTATACAACTTAAACTTTCAATGAAATTTTTTTCTATTGTAAAAGTGTCAAACTTTCTAGTATCTTCACTTCTGAAATATACAGATAAAAAGCAAACTTACTAACTTCTCATAAGAGAATTTCAATTATGAGTATTTGAGAATAGGAGATACTGGAAAGTCTGACATATTCGCAATCAACTAATCCCATTAAGAATTCGATCTATATCATGTCTGAAATCAATATTTAGAAGTAAATTTTAAAGGCTATTCAAAGAGGACAAAGCATTTGGTAGAAAAACCTTACTAAAAAATTTGATTTCTCCTGCATCTATGATTCGAAAATAATAGCTTGCAGCTTTCTCATTGTTTGTATCCAATGAAAACTAGACTAAGATTTTTTTCTTTGAATCTAAATTAGTATCTCTATGTATTTTATTTATAATAGAATTTCTCGTACGGCAACAATTGCTGTTGATTACTGAAGATTATTTGATATCACCATATAAAAAACCGCCTGATGAAGGAAATCTCCCAATAGATGAATCATTTTTTCTATTGAAACTAAACACTTTGTAGTATCTATAGACAAACAAAGTCATCGAAATTGGAATGAGATATTTTAGGTGATTTACCAGTTCGTGTTGCCGAGATAGTGTATTTTTACGATAACTTTTTTTTATACAATGGTGTGATTCGTCTCAGGTACATTCGAAAAAATGATTTTCAAATTTTAATTCACAACTTTGCACAGAGATAGATCTTTGTAAGAATAATTTATTGTGAAAGTATCATGTCTTGTGATATGCTCCTATCTTGAAATAAGAACATCAAATCTGCCGATTTATATTACTTTTTTTAAAAATCATAGCCGTATTTCAGAATAGAAATAAAAAAAATATCTGAAATTTTTACAAAGGCTTATCTCTGTGCAAAGTTTCAATTTGAAATTCGAAAACTAATGTTCTTGGTGTTCCTGTAGGAGGACTACAACGTTCATTTAAAAACAAATGCCCTAAAATTGCCTTATGTCGGCAGCAATAAGATAAATACGTGAGCTGTTTTTAAGGTTTTCAACACTCATTATTATCTAAATAATGCACATAGCCTCGATTCAAAAGCAACTAATCAATTGGAAGGCATCGCTGGTTAGACTGTCAACTAGTCTCGTTCTCTCCAGAGAAATAAAAGGAAAAGTATTCAACACTTTATTGTTATCATCTGACTTTTGAAAATTCATTCAGTCATAAACACTTGTAGTAATTTATGAGTATTAGAAATGATCTTCGATATAAATGAAAAAAAGAACAGAACAAATAATTTTTTTTGCTTCTGAGAATAGTGACAGATGTTTGATTGCAGGCAAATTTTATCTAACAATTATTATATATATTTTCAGCAATAATTTTGAAAGATATTTCATTATGTCGAATACAAATATATCATCATCATTTATAGTAACAATTCATAGTATTACAATTCAAATGACATATTATGGACCAATTATTCTTTTAATTATTGGTATTGTTGGTTGTTTATGTAATTTTCTAACATTTACATCACGACAATTGCGTAAAAATTCTTGTGCTTTTTATTTTCTTTGTTCATCTCTATTTGAATTTTTATCAATTACATTTGGACTTACTTCACGTTTAGCTGCTGATCATTTTGGTTGTAATCTACAACATACAAATCGATTTTTTTGTAAATTTCGTGCATATTATGTTTCGTGTATACCATTAATTGCTACTTATTTAATATTATTATCAGCTATTGATCGATGTATGTCATCATCGGCTCATGTTTATTTACGTTCATTTAGTCAAATGAAAATAGCTTATCGTAATGTTGTAATTGTTATTTTAATTGGTTTAATATCGTGTTCACATATTCTTATTTCTTATGATATTCGACGAAAATGTGGTACGTTACCTGGTATTTATGCTGCATTTGATGGTATGTTTGTTGTATTTTGGCTTGGATTTATTCCTCATGCATTAATGTTAATATTTGGTTTTATGACTGTAATGAATATAAAACGAGCAAGACAACGAAAAAGAATTAAATTACGAATTGAAAACATTTATATTAATCAAAAACCATATCGCAATTATCATAAAACAGATAGACAATTAGTTTTAGTAAGTATAATTAAAAAAGACACATCGACAAAGCATTGTATTTAATGAATGATGAAAAAAAAAACTTTTATTTTTCTTCAGTTAAAGTATACTTTCGAAAAACGATGAACATCTATTCAGCATCTTACTTTCAATCAAAGTTGAAACAATTCTTTGTCTCTATTAACTCGTTATTTTTCTTAATTTAACATTATTATTATTCTAATTATGTCGGCGTCAGAAGTAGATGGAGAAAACTCAAGGAGGAGTATCTCCTGAACGGATGCAGCAAGCGACCTGTGGTTTTCACCATTAGAAAGAAAACACCCAGGGACATCCACACATGGTAAAATATAATTGGTCAGCAATGGACCGATCAGATGCATTCTCGATGAAAATGTTGAGCACGGTATTCTGGAGCTGTTTCTCAACTTTGTTCGATTGTTAATTTACGTTTTTGATAGAAAAAATTGTTCTCTTTCGATCTACGAAAAGTCCGCCTTTCTAGCTTGTTTCGTTCAGGAGTTATAAGAGTTTTCCTGAGACCCCTGATTTCAGCCAAGTGACCTTGGATCACCTAGAAAACAGTCTGGGATGGGGTAATTCATCATGCTGAGTCGAATGGTGATATTTGTTTTTGGGTTCGAAATCAGCTTAGGGTATTATCTCAATATTTCCGAAATATAGATTTGTGTGATACGTAGCGGTAGATCCTATGAAATTTAAAAAATCTGTAAAAATCACTGTAAGGTGATTTCGAATCCAAAAACAAATATCACCATTCGACTCAGCATGATGAATTACCCCATCCCAGACTGTTTCCTAGGTGATCCAAGGTCACTTGGCTGAAATCAGGGGTCTCAGGAAAACTCTTATAACTCCTGAACGAAACAAGCTAGAACGGCGGACTTTTCGTAGATCGAAAGAGAACAATTTTTTCTATCAAAAACGTAAATTAACAATCGAACAAAGTTGAGAAACAGCTCCAGAATACCGTGCTCAACATTTTCATCGAGAATGCATCTGATCGGTCCATTGCTGACCAATTATATTTTACCATGTGTGGATGTCCCTGGGTGTTTTCTTTCTAATGGTGAAAACCACAGGTCGCTTGCTGCATCCGTTCAGGAGATACTCCTCCTTGAGTTTTCTCCATCTACTTCTGACGCCGACATAATTAGAATAATAATAATGTTAAATTAAGAAAAATAACGAGTTAATAGAGACAAAGAATTGTTTCAACTTTGATTGAAAGTAAGATGCTGAATAGATGTTCATCGTTTTTCGAAAGTATACTTTAACTGAAGAAAAATAAAAGTTTTTTTTTTCATCATTCATTAAATACAATGCTTTGTCGATGTGTCTTTTTTAATTATACTTACTAAAACTAATTGTCTATCTGTTTTATGATAATTGCGATATGGTTTTTGATTAATATAAATGTTTTCAATTCGTAATTTAATTCTTTTTCGTTGTCTTGCTCGTTTTATATTCATTACAGTCATAAAACCAAATATTAACATTAATGCATGAGGAATAAATCCAAGCCAAAATACAACAAACATACCATCAAATGCAGCATAAATACCAGGTAACGTACCACATTTTCGTCGAATATCATAAGAAATAAGAATATGTGAACACGATATTAAACCAATTAAAATAACAATTACAACATTACGATAAGCTATTTTCATTTGACTAAATGAACGTAAATAAACATGAGCCGATGATGACATACATCGATCAATAGCTGATAATAATATTAAATAAGTAGCAATTAATGGTATACACGAAACATAATATGCACGAAATTTACAAAAAAATCGATTTGTATGTTGTAGATTACAACCAAAATGATCAGCAGCTAAACGTGAAGTAAGTCCAAATGTAATTGATAAAAATTCAAATAGAGATGAACAAAGAAAATAAAAAGCACAAGAATTTTTACGCAATTGTCGTGATGTAAATGTTAGAAAATTACATAAACAACCAACAATACCAATAATTAAAAGAATAATTGGTCCATAATATGTCATTTGAATTGTAATACTATGAATTGTTACTATAAATGATGATGATATATTTGTATTCGACATAATGAAATATCTTTCAAAATTATTGCTGAAAATATATATAATAATTGTTAGATAAAATTTGCCTGCAATCAAACATCTGTCACTATTCTCAGAAGCAAAAAAAATTATTTGTTCTGTTCTTTTTTTCATTTATATCGAAGATCATTTCTAATACTCATAAATTACTACAAGTGTTTATGACTGAATGAATTTTCAAAAGTCAGATGATAACAATAAAGTGTTGAATACTTTTCCTTTTATTTCTCTGGAGAGAACGAGACTAGTTGACAGTCTAACCAGCGATGCCTTCCAATTGATTAGTTGCTTTTGAATCGAGGCTATGTGCATTATTTAGATAATAATGAGTGTTGAAAACCTTAAAAACAGCTCACGTATTTATCTTATTGCTGCCGACATAAGGCAATTTTAGGGCATTTGTTTTTAAATGAACGTTGTAGTCCTCCTACAGGAACACCAAGAACATTAGTTTTCGAATTTCAAATTGAAACTTTGCACAGAGATAAGCCTTTGTAAAAATTTCAGATATTTTTTTTATTTCTATTCTGAAATACGGCTATGATTTTTAAAAAAAGTAATATAAATCGGCAGATTTGATGTTCTTATTTCAAGATAGGAGCATATCACAAGACATGATACTTTCACAATAAATTATTCTTACAAAGATCTATCTCTGTGCAAAGTTGTGAATTAAAATTTGAAAATCATTTTTTCGAATGTACCTGAGACGAATCACACCATTGTATAAAAAAAAGTTATCGTAAAAATACACTATCTCGGCAACACGAACTGGTAAATCACCTAAAATATCTCATTCCAATTTCGATGACTTTGTTTGTCTATAGATACTACAAAGTGTTTAGTTTCAATAGAAAAAATGATTCATCTATTGGGAGATTTCCTTCATCAGGCGGTTTTTTATATGGTGATATCAAATAATCTTCAGTAATCAACAGCAATTGTTGCCGTACGAGAAATTCTATTATAAATAAAATACATAGAGATACTAATTTAGATTCAAAGAAAAAAATCTTAGTCTAGTTTTCATTGGATACAAACAATGAGAAAGCTGCAAGCTATTATTTTCGAATCATAGATGCAGGAGAAATCAAATTTTTTAGTAAGGTTTTTCTACCAAATGCTTTGTCCTCTTTGAATAGCCTTTAAAATTTACTTCTAAATATTGATTTCAGACATGATATAGATCGAATTCTTAATGGGATTAGTTGATTGCGAATATGTCAGACTTTCCAGTATCTCCTATTCTCAAATACTCATAATTGAAATTCTCTTATGAGAAGTTAGTAAGTTTGCTTTTTATCTGTATATTTCAGAAGTGAAGATACTAGAAAGTTTGACACTTTTACAATAGAAAAAAATTTCATTGAAAGTTTAAGTTGTATAAAATTTGAACTCAAAATTCGAAAGAAGTTCAAATTCTGAAAGTGATCTGATAGGAACCACGGTGTTTTACTGGAAATTTTCCGTAAATAACTATGATACAATTCTTTTTTCGGCTTTCTCGAATCTCAATAATGCTCATCTAATGAGATAAGACTCATCTCCAAAGCTTTTTTTTTTCATATAGCGAGATTTCTGCATTAGCAATTCAATATTCTTTCAAATACAAATAATTGATAACATCCAGACATGTGACTGAAGACTAGGATGACACTTTTTGGATTTTGAAACATAATCTCTGTTATATGAAATGACAATGTATTTTTTTTTAAACAAAATCAATTTCTATAAACAAACAGATGTTTCATGCTCATGATACTTTTCCAATTTCAAGCTCATTCATATCATGATTGACAAAATAATTCAATGAAAGATCATTTCAATTTGAATCATAAGAAATTAATATATCAAATAAAAGTTCTAATCATGATTATAATAAAACTCGATCATTTTTCATCATATTCGATGTCTTATTCAAGACATAGAATGCATGTACAATAGACATATCAGATTAAATCAACATGATTTTGTATTTGACACTTCTTTTTCTGTTAACATTTTTGGTGATTTTCGTCAACTTCTGCTTGAAAAATACGCTTTTTTTCAGAAAAGAAAATGAGATCTTTTTCTCTATTGACGCTTTTCTGAATGCGCATCTTTGAATTCTCGAAGAAGCTTCATTATAAATAATTGCTTTTATTTTTTGCTTGAGAGAGCATGGGAAGCTACAGCGACCATGTTTGTTTGGAATTAAGTTTTTTTTTACTATTATTTCAAGTATCACTTCTATAAATAGATAACCCTTTATTCGGATATTAAACTTGTCATCCTTTTTCTGTGCATTAAAAGTAATAATTTTAAAAAAAAAGTTTCTGCAGTCTGGCATGTTGTTTCAAACAAAAATAAATAAATATACAGAATGAGAAGTAATAGAGTTTTCGGTTACCAAATGAGATATTTTTTACCCTTGTTTATTGAAATATCTTTCGAAAAAATCATGATATAGGACTAAAAACTTCATAAGATTTATATTAGTAATCCTGCAATTGGGTTGGGTACCCGACACTCGTTTCAAAGTGAATCCCAAGCATGGTCTTATACCCAAAAATTAATGGAATCACAACCTTGAAAAATATTTTTACTTTTTCAAACTGTTCAAAATCAAAGATGATAAAACGGCTGTTACTCATCACTCAAAAAAAAATTAAATAAAAGTTCATATTGAATTCAATTTCAGTTAAGACTGTGTCTCTATAACTTGGTTGGTAAAAGTATCTGGCTAGATACCAATTGTGATACTACCTGGATTCTGAGTCCGAGCCAAGAATCATTTTCTATCCTTTGTCTTGCATTCTTTTCGTGTAACGAATAAAAAAAAACGTCCTGTCCTGCACATTTATGTATAATAATCTATTTTTTAAACTGCTATTCATATAAAAGCATAGAAGTGAAAAGAGGTCCGATCATAATTGAGCAAAACATATATATTCAGTGAAATTAATCGGATTTTAGAAGCAATAAGACATAAAGTGAATCTTGAATCACTTGACTACTTTGTGGAATTTCAGAACACCTCTTTGTTATTGTTTCTCTTGATAAAAAAACAACTAAATAGTATACTTTTTTCATATAAAATAAATGTCTGAAAATCGTACTTTGACTATAAAACTATCGGCCGGATGTCGGTTGGCTCCGGTCCGGATCCAGTGGCGAAAAGTCGTACCCGTGCTGGATACTAATTTGAATGCATATATCTCAAGATTGATTTTGAGAAGATGGCCTTAGAGCAATCAAAATTTTATAGAAAATTATAACCTTAATAAAATTACTATTGTTCTATTCAATATAGCACTTTACTGAATGGGACCATTTATAATATTTAAATAATAACCTGTTTAATTTCTA